AACGTGTGAGATTTGTCAAAATTGTTTACTGTTGACATTTCGAATGAAATTTCATCTCAACTGATATTAGAATTGAGGTGGAATCAAATTGTTTTGGTTGTCAGAGATGTTCGAAATTTGAATGTAATAATAAAATAGAATGTAATACTTGGAGGATGGAATTTAATGTTAATAAGAAGCAATAATAACATTTTCACAGATAAGAAATTTGTTCTAACAAAACAGTTTATCTTTATGCTGGTCGGAATTTGCGGTTTTTGAACACATAGTAGAGTGTTTATGATGTGTGTGTAGATAAAGAATATAATAGTAACAAAGACCAAATATTTGAATGCGATGTGGGACCTGAGATAATTGAGGTCAAAGGCCACCAAAATATGGGAAATATATTCAATCGTTTTTTTAACTCTTTATTTTTTACTAACTTTGATCTTTAATGAATATGTCAGCCCCATTATAAAAGCAATACATCACTGTAGATAGATACTACCTCAGCTAGAATTGAAACTTTTCCCGCACAGAATCGGTTCTATGTTATTTTTTTCCATCCTCTAAGGTTCTATTGCGCGAGTCGACCGGCAGGTACATTGGCTTTATATCAGAATTTATTTATTTACAAACGAAAAATGTATATATATTTAGTTCAATTATATAACAAAATCATTAGTATATGTAAAGCACCTACGATTACAGCGGTTTTCTAGTAAAATTTCAAGGTAATTTTGCGTTTTTTTTTTTTCGAGAAATTATTTAGGCATCGTGTTTTCACACCATATACTAATCAATGTATGTCCTTAGAATAATAACGCATAGAAACCTAGTCCGCACACGCTTAGTGAGGCAAATTGAAGCGCGCCCAATGGACTTACACGAGCGGGCGGGCCTTCAGTGCTCAAGGTCAACTTGCACCGCAAACAGATCAAGAATTTTAGCTAAAAATGTCGAAATGTGCGGTAAATGAGTGTAAAAATACGTCAGACAAACATAAAATGGATACTAACATCACATTCCACAAGGAAGTAACGCGTTTCAACTTTCATTTTTATATAAATATTCAATAAAACCGAAAATTAACCTACTACTAAAACTAGCCTACATGAATTAGATTTTTGCCTCACTTGTGACAGTTCGTTTGATATGAAACTATCATTCTATGAGTTATTATTCTAAGACTGTAGATAGATACTACCCCAGCTAGAATTGAAACTTTTCCCGTACAGAATCGGTTCTATGTTATAAGCGTTCTATTGCGCGAGTCGACCGGCAGGTACATTGGCTTTATATCAGAATTTATTTATTTACAAACGAAATTAAAGCCGTTTGAGAAATGTATATATATTTAGTTCAATTATATAAAAAAAAATCATTGGTATATGTAAAGCACCTACGATTACAGCGGTTTTCTAGTAAAATTTCAAAGTAATTTTGCGTTTTTTTTTCTATCGAAAAATTATTTAGGAATCGTGTTTTCACACCACATACTAATCAATGTATATCTTTAATTTTACTATATATTTTTTCCAAACTAATTGATTTAACACTTTCACTGTTATGCGAAATCAACTAAAGCATTTGAGGTTGTATGGACTCTTAATAAAATCCAAGCAGATAAATCAAAATACTACCTAACCAAACATGTATACAAAAATCTTCTGGGCTTTATATGTTGGTTCCAACAAAACGGATTGAAATCACCCAACATTAAATGTGTGGAAACTAACCTGTGCAAATAACCGTACCTTGATAGGTTCCGTTCGAACGCAAATTTTTATGTGCAGAAAAGTGAAAAAATATAATTAAGAAATAAATAAGAAAAATAAGCCTTCGATAGGGAATCGACTCTCCGCTTAGTGTAATTATTATAATATTAACAATATGCATATCAAGCACACTTTAGAATTGGGCCCGTTTTTATCGCAAGTTGTGTAGAGTTAAATAACTTGAAGTACTCTTGATCTCTACTAGCATTAGTAGTAATAAAAACAAATTAGAAATTACGTTTAAATAATAAAAAAATAGTAGCCAATTTCATTCAATTCACATCTAAGTGCTAGTTGCTAATGTAAATAGAATGTCGCTAAGTTAGGGTCAAGTCACACTGAAAGACAGCGGCCGGAGGAACATTTTTGCTGCAAAATATTAGCTAGCACTTTGAATCTTATCTTCTAAAGAACAAAATTTATTTATTTATTTAGTTAGAGGAAGATCAACAGCTTAAAGCTAAATTAAATAATAATAATAACAACTGAGAACCAATTAAAAATCCTCACAAATAAAAATATAATAAGGAATCTGGGTACTGAATTTACCTAACTTATTATATAAAACATTTAAAAAAAGAAAAACCACAGCAGTTGTAAGCCTCACTAAGAGTCAAAGAAGTGCTCAGTCAGTGCTCTCATTTAAGTATTACATAAAATGTTAAAATTATTACTTATACACCTCATAAACTCGTTTTGCCTGTAATTAGTTCGGGTCGGAGGTTGAACCGAAAGTGAATTGTAGGAATTCCGGACAGACAATAGAGCCCGATGTTATTTTTAATAAAACTTTATGTCACTAATATCACGACCATTTCGAGTGGTAAAATTCAAATTGATTTGAAGTGATAAAATCTACTGTAAGTGCGGCACCGCGAGCAGCCGCGAGGCCGCGTGAGACTTGTAGGGACTAGTTCAAATAGGCACCGTGCTCTAGCTCCTATCTGGCCGTTACGCGCCTCTGCTCTTTCAATATGACTTGACCCTTGGTATAATAAGGATATATTTGCAAAATGGCAACCTCTGAAGAAATAACTTTTTATACTTAAATAGGACAGTTATGAAATGTCACACTATTATATAAATAATTTGTTTCATGTACTTTATATTATTCTTATGACTTTCATGTGATAAAAGTACTTTTGACATAGGCTTTATATCAAGGGTATGATTTTATGTGTACATTCGCAGAACCGAACGACGGGCGTGAGACATGGGGTACGGGAGCAGACTTTCTCCTGTCTATCATCGGATTCGCAGTCGACCTAGCCAACGTGTGGCGCTTCCCTTATTTGTGCTACAGAAATGGTGGCGGTGAGTGCTTCAACGTTTTAACCCCGCGATAAGAATTTTTTTTTTAAAGCGAGTAAACAATTTGTGTCGAAAGGCCGGCAACCCTTTGTGTGCAAGGGTGATATAGACCACTTCCCATAAACCGTCTAGTTATACCTCCCACTTAAATTATTGTAAGTCAGTATACCACTTTTTGCTTTTTAACTTAAATGAAAAACTGTTTTATACATATTGTAGGTTCCATGTTTGAAAGTAACCATAACACTAAGTGGTTTCTTTACTTTTAAATATGGAACCTATAATATACTTTAAGCCTGATGACAAGGTGTTCAACCAATGTGTCCTACCTAGTTTCCGAGACATGGCCGCTCACGAAAGAATATGTGCATAAGATTCGAGTAAACAAAGGGCAATGTAGTGCGCCATGCTCGTACCATGTACCCAATGTAGACATTCGACGTCGCACAAAGGTAGTAGACGTGACTACGAGGATAGCTAAGCTTAAGTAGAGGTGGGCGGGGCACTTGGCTAGAAGGGACGATGGAAGATGGACAAAAGCCGTTAATGAATGGTGGCCAAGAGACACAAAAAGATCAAGAGGCAGACCACACGGCCGATCGATCGATGATATCAAGGCCACTGTTGGAAACCACTGGACACGACTCGCGAGGGACCGGAAAGAATGGCGCTATAGAGAGGAGGCTTGTACTCAGCAGTGGATGCAAACAGGCTGAAATGATGAATATACTTTAAGTTAAAAGGCAAAAAATCGTATTTAGACTTACAACGTACGTGTGAGGTATCGGTTTGTCCGATTGCATCCTATTTTAAGATAAGTGTCGTGTCACAGGTGCGATGGACCGATAAAATAAAATCTACAGTGGGCGGTCTTTTGGACGAATGCACCAGGGAGCAGGGTTCGAAGTGATAATTTTCATTGATAGTATAATTATCTTGATCATTATAATCGTGATAATTACCTTGACAAATATACCTGTCATGATTATATTATTGATAAAATTAACTGGCAAAATAAAATGCTACCGCTAGTAATGTCGTTGTATATGCTTGTATCAGAGACGTATCCAAATGTGTTAATTATCAGTTTTAAAGACTTCACAAATCAAATCGTTTTCCTAAAGATTTTTCTTCGTGTTTAATTTAGTTTTCTCATTGTTTGTTACTTTTAGTCAAAAATAAAGAGACAAACGCATGAATCGGCATGGATATTTATCGAATACAATATATCGGATAATTATCAGATAATTATCAAAGAAAATAAATATCTTATGTCGAACGTTGGCAGAGAGTCCACTAACAACCGTTCTATCAAAAGTGCTATGAAAAAGAAGAAATGTCGTATTGCGGTCACAACCTTGTCACTTAACAGCGATATTGAACGTATTATATCCTTCCTAACTTCGCTCACTGTCGCATATAACATTTTATTGTAACTGAGTAAGAGCCATACCACACGGGCGCTGCCGGTGAGCTGCGTCGTTGTCGTCGCAATGCTATGATTTCAACGCACCGCGCGCTACACGAGAGGAACGTAACGCCGCTTACTTACTCACTGCAACAGTCGTCCCTGCTTCGTTCCTGGCTCCATGTCCGATGTGCACGCGTCCCGTCGTCTCATCTGGTTGTAATTTATGTGTCGTTGATCCAAATGAACAGAGTATTACCTCAAAAACACATTTTTTTCAGGAATTTTAAAGTTTCTATTTCTATATTACAATATAGTTGTTCTATTTAAGGCCTACTCTTTTAACAATAGTATTTTCGAATAATACTTATTCTTATTCAATTCCGTTGACAAAATCTTGAAATTGTTCAGAGAGGTCTATAATATTACCCTTTTGAATATATATTCTTTGAGATTCAGAGTTTTAAATAAACTATTCATGCTTAATACTTTTAAATGAAAGAAGGAATAATATTCAATTCGATAATACTTTGAGGAACATAGTAATATCTCAAAAAAATACTGTGTACTAATAGATTACCATAACAATTCAATGAAAAAAAACCCAAAAACGATAATTTGACTTAATCGTTATCCTTTTAGAAAGAAATATTTTAAAAATACACTTTCCTTATAACGAACACATGCTGTGTTTTAGTTTTAATAGCCTGTTCAACGAACGACGACGTCTTGACGACTACAACTTCGTGTTTATTACAGAATACGACTGTGTTACTCAATGTTTGGGGACAAAACGTGCAAAAAGTTCAAAGATACTACCCTGCCTCCCGCGCCATACCACATCCGATCGTTATAAGACCTAGTTTATTAGAAAGATCTCGATTTTTTTTATAGGACTGCATTTTAAAAGAAAAAGTCCAAATTTTTAGTTGATACCATGTTCATCTAAGGCATCGAGTATATAACCAGAAATAGAGACGAAATGTCATTCAATTTGTTTGAAAACTATTCTGCCAAATCATTACGGCGACAACTGTGCTCCGATTGGTCGGCGCAAATTTGAAACAATTGACAGGTGTCGTCAATTGTTTCAGTTCACATCGACCAGTTTAACTTGAGCTTTGCTATAATGGACGAAAATTGAAAAATTAAATATTTAATATTTAATCTATATAATAGTTTGTTTTGTAATTAGATGTTTTTCTCACACCACCGAATAAAACAGCCTCTCATAGGTAGAGATATCTTTATTACAATAAATACAGAATATTTTTGGAATATACGGAGACGTACATACAGGTCAGTTGTTGGCGCTGTACTATTTCAGCTTTCTAATTTGTGATTTCCGCGCAAACGAGAATTGATATTTAAAAATGATATAAGGCCCATTTGCCTGATGAGTTGCCAGGGATGGATGGCCCTTCGATTATTTCGTCTCTATTTCTGGTCATATACGTAACACTTATTTACAGGTGCATTCCTAATTCCATATACGCTGATGTTGATATTTGGTGCGGTGCCGCTGTTTTACATGGAATTGATACTCGGACAATACAATCGGCAAGGGCCAATAACACTTTGGAAGATATGCCCGCTTTTTAAAGGTGAGCTCCTAATAAGTAATAATAATATCTAATAATATTTTTGTTTTGTACTTTACATATGAGTAGTCCACTTGCAAACAGCGCTATGTGACATTTGATGATTTTTAGTTAATGGCGTAAAATGGATCGGTATTTTAAATAATTTCAAATACTTCAACAATACAGTGCCGAAACTTGGTAGGTATATTCTGAACAAATCGGTGTCAATCTTGACTACTTTTGTAAAAGTCGCTACCTTTCTTAGTTTTGCACTTTCAAAAGTTTCCATTTTGTCGTCAACCTGCAAACGCTACTCTATTGAGTATAAACTCGTGCAAAATCCGTTATTTAGTTTGATATTTATTATTTTGTCATCCGAGAGGTCCCTCGTGTTCATTTATTAAAAACTTGATCGTCAAATTTTTCGGGGAACATTGGTTTACATACGAAATTCTTGAATTGTATACTCATATTATCGGGCAAGTACAATCAAATGTGACCGAAGAAGAAATGACAGATAATGAAGATACATTGATGGTTGACGACGTGGGTACAACAGTCTAAAGGAAAGTTAAAATTAGATTCAAGTTGTATTTTTTAATATTATTACAACAAAACTAGCCAAGTTATCATAGTGTTGTTGCAAAACTAGCTACGTTAATTCTGAACAATTACGAAACTAGTTATTTTAAGATTACTGTTGAAAAACTTTTTAATTTAACTTTTATGTTCAATTTTTTAATGGAAATAAAGTAAAAAGTTTAATACTGTGATTTAGATTCTTCATAATGTTTATCTCTTTATTATCGCAATTTTCAGATAATTAAAAAAGTACCATTTAAAAATCCGTTTTCGGAACAATAATTGTTTTTTTAGTTTATAGTTTTTTTTTATCCACACACGTAACACAGTTTCCTAGTGGACTACTCAAATGCAAGTTGCACAAAACGTCGTACAACATAATTTACAATTACATATGAGCTTCCAACTCCTAAACTAGATATTAGATCTGTGTTTTAGGATGAGATCACTGTGTCCGTCGCCGAATAGTTTTTTTTATTTTTATAAAATATAAGTGCGCATTTGACCTCCATCTCACATGATGGAAAGTGACGATGAGGTCGACGATGGAGCATGCACACCTAAATAATGCCTATTCACTCTCGCCTTGAAAAGACCCAAGGTATAACGTTCAGGGAACAAGTCTGCAGCAGGGAATTCCACTCCATAGCCGTTCGCCATAAAAATGTGGAAGCGTAACGCTTCGTGCGAATCTTTGGAATATCCACAACATAGGGGTGGAACCCAAGCCTACGCCTAGTCCCCCGGTGATGGAAAGGGGAAGGCGGAATTACATCGTTGCAATATTGGACTGCGATGCAGAGGTTCCGTGTTCGAATCCCGAGCGGGGAGAAATATTTGTACGGCCTACATTTATTTCTCTCGTGAGTTTGGGTGTAATTTGTGAATGTCTATGTGTGTGTCCATGGCTCCCGCGGTACAGGGTTTCTGTAGTGTGGGGCTATGAGTCTACGTAGGTGCGTTGTTATTATTATTCTGACTTCAAAATATTAAAAGCTTCAGAGTCAGCTTTTAATGATTTTATTCTATGTATTGATTATACGATCTTCTAATTATAATTATATAAAGATAATTATTATAGGTACAATGAGGTTAGGTAGTTAGGAAGTTGTACTTTAAAGGTTACTTACATCAAAATGTAATTATTAATAATAACTTTTTTGAAATCATTTCGCAGGTGTGGGATTTTGTGCAGTGATGGTAGCATTTTACGTGTCATTTTACTACAACGTCATTATTGGTAAGCATTTTCTATTAATCATTATTGTGGTTGTTTATTTACATTAAGATTCGAAGTCAAGGTTGTTATTTTTTGTTGTATAACTATAGATACCAGTGGCGAAGCGTCCATATTTTTCGTTTTCGTTTCCCACCAGTTTCCTTAAAATTTTTCATGTCGGTATTATCAAAAGACTGTAATAGACAGCGCATATACCACACCGTGCGCGAGCATATACTTTTTAACCGACTTCAAAAAAGGGTGGAGGTTCTCAATTCGAATGTATTTTTTTTATGTATGTTACGCAATAACTCCGTTTAATTTTTGAAACGATTTTGATGTTTCTTTTTTTGTTGGATGGAGGGTACCTCAGTATTGGTCCCATTTCAATTTGAAGAAAATATTCCACTTTTAAGGGTAGCAAACTAGGGGATGAATCCGATTAATAAAATTTCTCAAATTCCGGTTTTGAAGGGAAAGGGTGCTGGTGAAATTACAGGCACATGGGACTTGTCAACTTATGTCTCAGAGTGTCGGGCGCAGTTGTCCCCCAAATATTACGCCTTAAAGCTCTGAGTGGCACTGCATTATTATGGACAGGCGTGTTGCTTACCACCAGGTGTACAACTTGTTTGTCCCGTCACTTAATATTATAAAAAAAATTGTTCTTTGACTTTTTACAACGTATAATGAAGTACCAAAAATAAACTTTTAAGTTTTATAATAATAATAATAATAATCTTTATTTATTACAAAATCGTGATACTCTGACTTCCAAACTAGTATGATACTGTATCTTGGAAGCCCGATTCTTCCCAATAAACACAATCACAAGAGATTTTGTATTGTAGTACAACTTAAAGTAAGAAGTAAAGGTATGATATATAATAACAATAACCAATAATCTCAGTACAGAGAACTAAAAAAACCGACCTCAAAAGTACGTGGAATTACATCTATTTGCCAAGTTTTATTGAAATATCCCATAGTTCGCCACTATACAGGACTTGACACAGGAGATAATAAAAAATCGGTTCTCACTACTCAAAGTATATTGAGAGAGAAAAACGCCTTGAATTGGAGAATAGCAAAACCAACCATTAAAATAATTGCTCCTTATAATAATATTTAGGCGCTATTTATAAAAATGAATCTTCATGCGTGAACAGCCCCCTTAGAAGTGGATGATTTTTTCAAAATTAAATGAGACCACTGTGGAGGACCCTCTTTCTAACAAAAAAAAAAGAAAACAAATACCGGAGTTACCGCGTAACATACATACAAAAAAAACATACAGTCGAATTGAGAACCTCCTCCTTTTTTTGAAGTCGGTTAAAAACTAAACTATGTAATTAAAAAAGATAGTGTAAAAAAGAAAATAAACAACAAAGATTGACCTTTATGCGTGGGGTGTATATATATGTTTATATATATTCATAGTATATTTGACTTAGTGCAGATTGTAAGGTATATGTTATGTATTTGGTAAGGGTAGAGTGCGTTTACTGAATGCCTCGTAGAATAGACTCAATATCCTTGTGATTATAGTGTTTTGAAAGTTTTTGTAGTACTATTTGCTATTTGACACTTTTTACATCTATATTAGTTAGTAAGGTAGTAAGTTCGAACGTGTAAGCGTCCTACCCGACGACCACTAACTGCGCTCTTGCGTTTTTCACAGAGTTGTCACTGTTTAAAGCGATGTATTTACAATTTTTATTTTTGTATGAAAGTAAAATGTGGTGAATTAAAACTCATGTAATAAAAGTTGTTGTTTGTGATGTTAGTAATACAGTCCTACGAGGTTGTTATTATTTTACAGATAACGCTGTATATGGTATTCATACACACTTTAGATAGTAAATTATTTATTGAGCTATCGAAGCTCGAGTAATTATCTAGCTGTAAAATCAAACGATGGTAGGTGAGAGCCAAAATGCTTTTGGAAGGTATCCAACGTGCTAAATATGAGGTAGCTGTATATAACCCAGTTTATTAGTTAAGTTTCCTTTCGAAACGTTGGCGTTTTAGGACTACCATTATATTATGACCTTTTCACGCGATCTATTGCATGTGTCTATACTAGAGATGTGCGTTGTTTTTCGACCGCGACGGCAGCGGCAGAGGCGTGATTTATTGGCGTGAAACCAGGGTGGCATTAATATTTTTAAAAAATACATGAGTTACTTTCCGGAAATCCCTACTAATAAAAAAGAATTAATAAAGAAGAAAATAACTGCGCTTGTGTTGAATATTTTGTCATCAATTATCCTTCACTGGATCGGGTTTCATATTGTTCAGGTTCAAAAAACACTAAAACATTCTATAAAACAACCTTTGTATTCATTTTCAACGTTTTTATACTTTAATTTGAAATTTAGCAGGTAATATTTATGGAGTTTGACAGTCCAATACATAGACATACTATATCTAGACTGACGCCGCAAGTGTGCGTACTTCGCGTGCACATGTAAGTGACAGACATTTACGTAATTAATTTTAATTGTACGGAATTATTGCATTATAAAATAGTAGGCAAATATTTTTAAATTTTTTATTGAATTTATATTCAGTAATTTTTTGTGAAATTACTCCACTAGTTTGTTATAATTATTAATAAAAAGATCGAACACTCAGAAAAAATTCCATCGATCCGGCCGGATTTGAACCGACGTCCTCTAGCCCACCGTGGCAGACGCCACACCAACTAAGCCACGGAACGAACCAGCGGACCTTACGAATTCTTCTATGTGCTTGCGTCGCGTCTTTGTATTTGGTTTTTTCAACGACTTTTTAGTCGTAGCACTCACCTACACTTACTTTACTCACTTTAAGACTTTACTGTAGTTAGTAGGTACACTATTACCGATTCTTCCGATAATTATATAAATACTGCTTGACGTTATGACAAGTGATTTCGTATTCATAGAAAAAAATGAACGAGATAACTGATTTAAACTCGAATTTATTTTATTTAGAAGCGAATTTTTGTAACGAAGTTGTACATAGCGTAATTAACTCTATGTCAATTATTGTGTAACGTACAAACTATGAATACGATGCGCCAGCTGCGGGAAGAAAAAAGCAATAGAATTGCCTTAACCCTCGGTTACTATCAGAACCGCTGTCGCCGAACTCACACATTCTTAATATGATCACTAGAAATCTTGATTAAGATTGGTCGTAGTTTCTAGTTTAAAAATAAACAACAACTTCTGGACTGTTAATATAATTTAGACTCTACCTTGTTGGCATATCATTCAAGTACAATACCTATTATTGCAAGTTGCGCCGCTTTGATTTTACATTGAAATTTCAATCAATGTGCTGCCATCTAGCGGTCAGTACATCAACGAATTCGAGATGTTTACTTAGTTTTTAAAAAAAGAAGCGATCGTATTGCAGCGGTATATGGCTTACTTTCGTTTTTTATAACAAAAAAATGTATTACGATAAACAGAAAATGGGAAATTTATTAAAATGAAATAAGACAACGATTATCTGAAACCTCAACGTGAATAATATTATTATCCATGATATATTTAATATATTTTTTATCGACTTCAAAAAGGGAGGAGATTCTCAATCCCAGTGTATTTCCTTTTTTTGTTGGAAAAGGGATGTGGTGGTCCCATTTAAATTGAAGAAAATATTTCATCTCTAAGAGTGGCAAACTAGGGGATGAATCCGGTTTCGCGCACTTTCGGTAACCGTTTTCAATAAAACTTGGCAAATAAATGTAATTCCACAAACATTTGAGATCGGTTTTTTAGTACTCTGTACTGAGATTATTGCGCTCCAAAGTAGTAAAATAAGGCATTTTTCTACGATTTTCTAATTGAAAACAGACCATAACGTACAAAGCGAAAATGGCTGACTGAACTTAAATATATACCTACCTATCATTGGCACATGTTGCATGCAAACTAAGCACTTCTACATTTCAATACCTCCAATGAACACTACGCCATCTTTATTTTTTGGTCGTCTTCTGTTATTTTTGTAAACAGCCATATTTATTTGCCTTAGTAAATAAATATGGCGGTTTAATATAAATATAATCTTAGTTGTGCTCCCCGAATTCTGTGAAAAAAAAACAAAAAAAAATAACGAATTTTGTAAAAAAAAAAGAAACAAAAAACAAAATAAAAACAGAACAAGTCCAAAAATTAAGTTGGCTTAGTGTTATTGGAGGTATCGATTTATTGTTCCGTGGTTTTTGGCTCTATGTATTCCGCAGGAATGTAAATAGAGCCTAATATTTTAAGTTCCGTTCATTCCATTATCAGGTTGGGCGTTCTACTTCCTCGTGGCGTCAGCCCGTTCAGAGCTTCCATGGGTGCATTGTGATAACGCGTGGAACACGGAGCACTGTTGGGATTCTTCCAGACTCAACTCAACCAATCGCACAGATGTCAAATATCAGGGACCGCTGTCGCATTTTACTCCAGCTTCTGAGTTTTTTCAGTAAGCATATAAAAAAGAAAAGTACTTTTAACAGGTAGAGAACTTCATAACTTCAATCTCAATCTATAAAATCTGAGAATTCAATGATTTGAAAAGGCTCAGACATCCATACTTTTACTTATTATAATTCTTAGGTTTAGAATTATACAATTTTTGTAGCTGTAGACATTGGCTTACAATTATATGGACGTCGGGTCCGCGCTAAAAAGTGTCCGAACTTATAGGGCGTTAAAATCGTATAAGGAGCGTCATTCACGTTTTGCCTTCGTTTGTTCGACTGACAGCGAAGCAAGCAAAATTAGACAGTACTGCGATGACATTACAATTTAAATTCAACGTTTTAGCTTTTTCATATTCCTTTACATGTCACTACGTTGAAATAGGTTGACTTGGGACATTTTTTTCGTGGTTTTTGTATTAGACCCATCGTCCATTTATTTGTAAGTCAATGGCTGTAGAGCTCCTTGTGAAAGAGTTCGTCCAGGGAAGTACTGCCACCTTACCTATTTCTACCGCCAAGCAATAATGTGAACATTATTACGTTCCGGTTTTGAAGGATAAGGGTGCCAGTGAAATTACCGGCACGTGGGACTTGTCAACTTATGTCTCTGGGTGACAGATGCAGTGGCAATGGCACTAAGACCAAAAAAAGTATTATTTAAGCTCACTGGTCGTGAAAAACTAAAACATGCTTCTCTGAAAGTTTTTCGAAATGTCACTTTCGCCGTTTTTGCAAAACACCAACGATATACCGATGAGATCTTTGTATAAGGGCCAAAACGCAAAATCACAATTTTACAGGAGAGGCTTCCGAACTTCCAATCTCGTATATTTTCAAGATTTCCTTGTATTTCCTTGAACGTGTTTGATTTTGTTTTAATGTTACCTTATGGATTATAATGAAATGAAGCATTTCCTCAGGACCCATCGATATATTGGTTTCATTCAATATTTTTTGGAAATACAAAAAGCTTACTTAAGTCGCCATTTTAGCTTAAACGTGAAACACACAGAAAGAGTCGGATCAGGCGCGTGTTCACACATATCACGAGCGGGCGCGTGATCCGATCCGTGCTCTCAGTGTTCTACGCTTAAAGGACTATTCACATTAGACCGTGTCGGGCGCGAGCCGAGTCACGTATGAGCCTCGGATTGGAAATCAATGTTTCTCTAATAAATAAGAAGGAGTCGTTCTATTTTTTTAAATTACTAAAAAAAAATAGACGACACAGTGATGATTATTAACTTTTAAATCCTCTTTTGCAGTCGAGCAGTTCTTGAAATGCAGCATTCCGAAGGCCTCAATGACTTGGGTTTGCCTAAATGGCAGCTAGCCATCTGCCTGGGCTTAGTCTACGTCACACTATATCTGTCGCTTTTCAAAGGCGTTAAAAGCTCAGGTAAGTTTAGGAATCGATACCACTTCAGCTGGAATTCAAATTTTTCCCGTAGTAATAAGGTTCATTTTGCTTGGGTCGAGTGGTAGGGACACGAACTTAAAGCCATTTGAAAAATGTATATATCGTGTAGTAAACGTGTTTAGTTTAGTTCAGTTGATATAAAAAAAATCATTGGTATATGTAAAGTACCTATTGTATATACTCCGTATATACAGGTTGATAAAAAAATCACTGACCATTTTTTTTCCTGTGCATAAGATTCAGTAATAGAACACACTAGTCAAATAAAACAAACAATATTTCCCATTAATTTTTAACGCGTGCTTACTTCAAAATAGTAAATAAAATTGAGCGACTGGCGCCCACTTGTGTAGGCGCTAACGCTTCGCGCGTTACTTTAGTACTTTGTTGTCTGTCAAATACACACTCGCGCGCCGACGCCGTCCACTGCCACCCCACACCGTTGTTGTTGTTATGGCAACGGCGTCTGTTAATTGTCGGGTGTCAATATTGTTCAAAATTTTTCGGAAATCTTTGAGACGTCAAACTGTGTTAATTATTTGAAAAAAAAACCGAACATGTATTTTTTATTTCCATTATACAGATGCTCCTTTTAACTGGTCAGTGATTTTTTTTTTGTCAACCTGTATAGTAAATCTTATCCTCAATTTTACTGTATTTTCAAAGCGATTGATTCAATACTTTCACTGTTATGCGAAATCAACCAAAGCCATTTGAGGTTGTATAGACTCATAATAAAAAAAATGCATTTATTTGTTTCTTGGCCTTCCATACCAATCAATTATAAGGTATAAATTTTTGGAATCCAGCAAGACACAATAGTATTAGGGTCGCATTCCAGAACTCTTCTCAATACTCAAGTCAGGACAAGTCCTGACTTCCACTTTTTAAGTATGATTTTCAGTGCAGTGAGCACTGAAAATCATACTCAAGTCCTTGCCATTAGAGTCGTATTTCCAGTGCTTGAAATCATACCCAAGTCTGCTCAAATCATGACTTGAGCATTGAGTAGAATTCTAGAATACGACCCTAAGTCTCATGTTTTTATTTATCGAATATCAGGAAAGGTGGTATGGATGACAGCTACAATGCCATACGTAGTGCTATCCATACTCCTTGCACGTGGTCTACTTCTGCCCGGCGCAACCAGCGGCATCGCTTATTATCTGCAACCCGAACTTACAAGGCTGAAGGACACGCAGGTACAATCCGTTTTTATTTGTAAATAAGTACAGATTCATACACTGTAATAACAAAAATTATAATATACGTAGTAAAATTGAAATAAATTTATTTTTGCAATTACGTCTGACATCTGTATTTATTTCAATATTCGTTGATATTCGCGAAGTTGTGATCTGTAGTCACTTGTAAATTAATTTCCGCGTATTATTCGAAATAACCTTAACATCCGTTATATTTTATACACAGCGAAATTTACATCCGCTTTCACGTATAAAAAATTAAAATCGAGGAGTAATATTTAAATTTAACAAAATGTGTGTTCGATATTTTAATTGCTATTTTAGGTATGGGTGGATGCAGCGGTACAAATATTTTATTCTGTGGGTGCTGGATTTGGAGTACATCTGTCTTACGCAAGTTACAATACGTTTCACAATAATTGTTACAGGTATGTACTGTTCAGTTGACATTTATAGATATTTCAAGACATAATTCTTACATATTGTATTGGCGGATTATGACCGACTCCATCTTCTACGAGAAGACACAACAGTAGGACGTATTGGGTTGTGTTGAGTTGAGTGGGTATGACACTGAAGAAATTTTATTTTATTTTAACATATTTTTCATTTTTATATTATCAAGTGACACTTGGCATGGGCCTAGTCAGGTATCCGTAACTCGCTCAATGTTACGCGATAAGTGCTACCGCTGAGCGTACCGACGTCGGCACAAGCGCCCATACAAGTCTTTCATTTACGAGCATTCGTTTCCGCACGATTGCACACGGCGGGGGAAGTTATTTTCACCTCTCAATGCGCGTGCTTAGATCCCTTTTTCCTCGTAGTAAGCGCCTGGTGTCATCAGTCAAATTTAGTAGGCTATTATAGCCTTGGTATTTTCGATTTTGTATGAGAGTGATGTATCTGTTACGTTGTAACTATTAAGTAAGCCGTGGTCTAGTCGTAAGCGACTCGACAGTTTGCAGTGCATCTCAGATTCCTGAAATGCAAAGTTCTATAGAGCACTGCTATTGCACCTGTCACCCTGAGACATAGAAGTCTCATGTACCTGTAGTTTCACCAACACTCTTACCCTTCAAAACTGGATTGCAGAGAGGATTGAATGGTTATGTTACTGTTTGGCGGCAGAAATAGGTAAGGTTGCAATACTTCCCTGTAGAATTCTTTCACATGGAGTTCTACAGCTACTTTTTACCCAAGTACTTATTTCCAGCAGATATATATTATACGGTCAAATGTTCATCATCAATTATAATTAAAGATCGAAACACTAAGAAAAATTAATTCGATTCGGCTGGATTCGAACCAGCACCCTAAGGCAATACGTGCCAGATGTTCTGCCAATTAAGCCACGGAACGAACCAGCAGACCTTACGAATTTTTCTATGTGTTTCAATGTTTGTTATAATAATGATAACAAACTAGTGGAGTCATTAAAAAAAATTAAATATCATAAAACATCACGACATTCAACAAACTTAAAAATTACTCGAAATATTTTTTGTATTAAATTTTTATTAAATGTCAGAATGTTTCACCACCATGATATTCAATTATTTGCTGTGAAATTACTCCACTAATTTGTTAAAATTAATAATATTTTTGTTATTTAATATATGTAATTAAATATATAATAATTAATTCTATAATTTTTATTAATTTCAGGGATTGCCTGGTCACGACACTGGTCAACTGCTTTACGTCGTTTTTCTCTGGCTTCGTAATCTTTACTTACCTCGGATTCATGTCGCATAAACAAGGCGTGCCGATATCTTCTGTCGCCACTGAAGGTAATGCTTATTTATAACAATCGACTACCATTATCAGCAATTAACTTTATTTTATTTTACATTTTTAGGGAAACTAACAGTAGGCTACAAAGTTAAATTACATAGTTACAAAAATAAATATTTATGGTCAATTACAAGTTTCCACAGATAAGTTAACAGTTAATTGGACCCAACCATTCCGTTTTCAGGGATAAGGCTGCATGAAGTTGATTACGACTTCACTCATTAACAGCAAATAAACAGTCAATCTGTTAGCAGCCTAAAGGTTTCGCATAGTTCTTTATGTTGGAACAGAATAGAATAGAATCGTTTATTTCATGTTATCAATGTCACAATATTGCAATTGGAAATACAATGTCAAGGGATAACTATGATCGTCGGTAATAAAATTATAATAATAATAATGAATATAAAATAAAGTAGTATAACTACTGCTTGTCGAATAAAATAAAATTAAAATTGTTTCAAAAGAAACTCATCGATACTGTACAATTCAATATCCAATAAAAGGTTTTTTAGTCGGGTACAAAACGTTTCATCGTTTCTAACACTTTTCAGGTCTGTGGGTAGATGTTCGTAGAATCGGGGACCTATTACCCGCGGATTTCTAGTTGCAAGTTCGGTACGGTGGGCAACGGATTTTAGTGTTCCCGCGTTTCGTAACGCTCGGCCTCCGCCCGTACGTCGCTCATAAGTAGCCAAATTTGACGCGCACGTTGGAAACGTTTTAGAAACATTTAAAAGCTAGTTCTCACTTGTTCAATGACACACGACTTTTTTCCATAGCACAAATTACGTGACTGACAGGTCCCGCTCATAGTCACGGCTACTCATAAAAATAGTTCCATTTCCAATATATATAAAACTTTGAATAAAATAAATTAATTATTACACAACTTTGTTGTTTCTCCAGGACCCGGACTCGTGTTCCAAGTGTATCCTGAAGCAGTGGCCACACTGCCTGGCGCCAGTCTCTGGGCTATGCTATTTTTCTTCATGCTTATCATGCTCGGATTGGACTCAGGGGTATGTATGAATGTGGGAAATTACTGACAATAAAATTCAGGTAGGTATTCAGTGCGTCTCTTTTATTTTTCGCATTGAAACGTTAGGCACAACGTGTACTATAAAAAAACACTTCTTCCTCTTCATTAAAAGAATGACTTCATTCATTCCTCTCCTTCACTCTCGTCATTCACTCTTATCCTATCGTTACATTCCTAAATAAACTAAATTGCGTTACGACTGACTTAATAGTACCTACCATAGATATCGTTGAGTTACGCCTTCCATCCTCTAAGGTTACGCCTATATTCGTAAAAAATATTCTACGTAATAAAACAATTTGAATATTTTTTTATTAGCACAAACACGTATTGGTAACTTCTTTGTTAATAAAAAAGTAATTTGCCATTGTACTTTTTTATTTCTTGATTTTTTATCTTTGATGACTTATTGATATTTCGCATATTTCTATATTTCTGAGTACTGTTACGCATATATTTTGCGACACTGCTGTTACCGACTCACTGATTGTTATGATGACAAATAATTTTAAAAAAGATCATTTTATTAATTATATTAGAAAATTTGTATTCGGATGCATCTAATTACGACGATTGCCGAGAGATACTTATTATGAAAAGTCGATGTCAACGCTACTTAAAAAACAATAAAGTACAAGTCTTTTATTAAAAAAAAACGACATGAAAAGTATATGGAATTACATCTATTTGCCAAGTTTTATTGAAATTGATTCACGGAAAGTGGGTGAAATCCAATAAGCCGAATCCCCCAAATTTACGACAGTCAGAGGTGGAATATTTTCTTCAAATTTGATATTGACCACTTCTGAGATAACCCCTTTCTAACAAAAAATAATCATGGAAATCGACAAAATGTCGGATGCGTACTTTTTTATGCGTGAAATGAAAAAGTACAATTGAATAAAAACCTCTTCCTTTTTTTAACGAAAAAAATATATACTCGTAGTGCGGTTGGATAACTGAACTCCTTAACATTTAACAGAACAGTGTTCTTAATTTAGATAAATTTTTTGTAGTTGTAAATAAGTATTTAAATTATAATTAACTGCGTTTCAACAGATGGGAGGCCTGGAGTGTGTAATAACTGGTCTTCTAGATCAAGCTCGAGCCAGTGGTGCTCACTGGCTGCGCCGGGAGCATTTTACATTGGTCGTTGTTTGCATCTCCTTTTGCGTCGCTTGCATCAATGTCACCCCTGTAAGTTTTTTTTTGTATAATACCAAATACGACGAACGAACATGTCGTGCGCCTGGTGGTAAGAGACACGCCTTCCATATCCATAACAGTAGCATTGTCACAGCACCATTACCCTTCTCAACCGGAACGCAGTAATGCTCACATTACAGCTTCTAAAAAGTGTGTTACCGTTATTAATTGAGCTGTCAAAGGAAATTTGAAATAAAACTGTTATCAAAACTTGAAGGTTGGTAGCCTTATTATATATACCTTCTTTCAAACAGAGGCCGCGGGTACGAATTGTTTTTTGACCTCTGAGTTTTTTGGAATTAATATGCGACATATGTATAATTTGAAATTTCAGTGCCTCCAGTGAAAAAGGGAATAACTCAAAATCGACACTTTTCAGGAGATAAAAAAAACCATACTTTTACTGATTGTTGGTTGTTCGCATTTATTATTAGCATTTTTTATCATTTCTAGCTTTAGGTACACGTCTAAGCTTTTGTTTGATGGGTATTGGTTAAATATCCAGTCATAATTTCAATATTTTTTTAAAGTTTTTTTCGAGTTGCCCTTGTTTACAAAGAGCGTAAAGGTACAACACGACTTATGTTAACAAATTTTAAGACATAAAACGACTTATTCCTTTAGCTGCGACTATTCTATGATTATAACAATACTTATGACACTCATCTTTAGCATAAACACTACACAATAAAAATGTGTATGGAAACAACTGTGCGTTAAAAATAAAGAAATTGTATAAAAATATGAAAATGTATTGTATGTTACATTAATCTGTACATTTGTCGTTAAATAATTATAATCGCTTAAATCTGAGTCTTCATCGACTCTTACCGTTTTGGCAGTTAAAATTCATGACATTAGTTAAAATTCATGACATTCACTGTCAATTAATGGTAGAAGAGCCAGAAGATCCTTCTTTTATATGGAGAAGTTTGTCGGTTCTGTTTGTCAACAAATAACTGAGATCTTTGACTCTTCCGAAAATCGAGTATGTACTCGATCTTCCGAATTTCTGGAATGATTAGAAAATATTTTTACACTAGCTATTACCGGTTCTTTCGTTCACTATTTTTATATATATATTGCTATTGTAAAAGTAACAACCTTACGTCACAAACATTACTTCTTGGTTTAATAATTCCAAGTTCTCGATCCGTAATTAACTCCCTCTGCAATGAAAGCAAAAAAAAAAATAACTGTATACATGACAATAATAACAAAAAATTTACTAAAAATAGGAAAAATGTATAGGTACATGTAAATTGTACCTAAATGTTGTTATTGTAGGAACTATAGGTTACTTACACTAATCTACTTACTTACTGTAGCTATGATCAAACGATTCTGGTGGATTTCTAATAAAAAAGGGAACAAACGTTACTCTCAAAATTAAGTACATAATTATAGTAATACTTATCATCAAA